ACACACACACACACACACACACACACACACACACACACACACACACACAAAGACTAGATCTGCTCTTCTTCATACATTTTCATGTAAAGTTAATACTTTTTTGTCAATTTGTTGCTTATTGTTTGCTCAGTTGTTATTTTCTTCCTTGTATTTTTATAAAGGCTCTTTTTCATTCTCAGATCTCTCACTGTCATCTTTACGTTCACTTCACACACAAGCACACTAGTCTTTACAAGAATGTCATTTCATACTTTCATTGTACAATATTTCTTCTTTCTAAGAGAATATATATATATATAAAACGGTAAACATTAAATTTAAGAAGTGAGAGCTCACATATTTCCATCCCTTTGTATTCATGATAAAAGTTTATTAAAGAACCTCACATCTCACAGTCTGACATTCTGCTTGACAAGCTGCAACAGAACATTTCACAGGTCTGTAACACACACCCACACGTTTGACATGGTTTCAGGATTCACACGCACATGCAGAGGTGAGGGGCTGATACACCACCAAACATCCCACCGAAACAAGATGTACTGCGTTAAATTCAAACTAACTATTACACACTTTGACATTTGCACACATCCACATTGGAATCTAAAAATGTAGAACAACAATAATTTAGACTCCAGTGTTACTGGAGTTTTGAACTCATTTATCCTAAACCACTAAGAAAACAAATGTTCACACCAATAAAATCAGGTTTAAATAAGTAAAATCTGGACACATATGAATAACACATTTTCTTTAAATTCAGGCACTCGCAATGTAAAGACTCTATATTCTGATCTTTGTAAAGGCCTTTTTTCTAAATGAGCATCAAAGAGCAACAATAAAATAAAATGTTACAAGTTTCTTATGATGGTGCTAAAAAAGCAACCTCCCATCCAGCCGTGCTTCTCTGTGTTACCACAGGGGGGACTCAGCCAGGTCACTGCAGGGAGAGGGGGGTGAAGGTCTTTAGAAGGGTGAGGATGAACTTCAACTTCAACATTAACATCAACTCGCTGTTCCACTGCTACTATTCTCACCCTCTTTATTATCTTTATTTTTATTCTCTAAGTGTGCAGTGAGTGAACATCAGCTTTTATAGAACAACAACAAGTCAGTCAGTGAGGAGGAGGGAGGGAGGGTGTGAAGGAAGTTGTTATTTTAAGAGACATGCCAGGACCAGAGAGAGAGAGAGAGAGAGAGAGAGAGAGAG